TTTGATCTATGGTTCTTATTCTGTCCCATTACTTTTGGTCCCTTAAGAAGTGGGAGGCACATATGCAAACTGTTGTAACTCCTACACCATTCACCTGATTGATGTAAATACCCTCAAATAAAAGCTGACAGTCTGCAGTTAAAGCAAATCTCGTCCGTTTCATTTGAAATCCATTGTGGTGGTGTATGGAGCCAAAAATGTTAGAATTGTGTCAATGTCCCAATATTTATGGACCTGACTGTATATCCCATATGGATGATGTTGTGCTTTGCAAAACTTTAAACATAGACATTTTCCCTATTTGTGATTTATATTTGACGGCTGAAATCCACCTGTACCACATGCCACTTCATGCTGTAGTGAAGATGGAGTTTTATGATTTAGACTGTAGAGCAGTGACATTTACCACCACATTTACCTTAATGCACACTTACAGAGCCTGAGACATGCTCAACAGCACCTGCCTTCAATTCAGAACAAATCAGAGTGACATACAGTGCAAAAATGACATTTAACCCGATGCTACAAAGATATATATGTATATAAATATACATGGCGCAAAGCCAAGTTAAAGCTAAGTGTACCTGCCTGGAGTCACGGCTAGCAGGTTATTACAGAACACGATGGTTAATAATTCCTGTGTTTTGTGGCAATTACATCACTTATTCTTGCACAAAATCATTTGCTACTTTACTGACTGAGTTACTTTCATGGCTTATGTAAGCCAGCCAGTGTTTCTGTTCAGATATCATTTTTCTGGCAAGAAGAGTAGCAAGCTAAGGTTAGCCAGCTAGTTAAGTTAGCTGTACCATTTGTGTCCCTGGAAAAATCCTCAGCATTTTTTTACTCCATCGTGTCCAGTTATAACAGCGATTAAAAGAGGTACAAGCTGGCTTTCGCAGAAGCAGTTAATGCACTAAACAGATCTTTACCCTGCGAATGATCATCAAACAAAACCTTGAATTACAAGAGCACAAGGCTCTCTTCACCATTGCTCGTGCTACTGCATCTGCACGGAAAATGCCACAACAGATTTCCACAAGACTGAAACTGGAATACCAAACGGTTGTGTTTCTCACCTTTTCTATTCCTCTTCACTACTGATTTTGTTATAAGGAGGTGAGTCAACTGTTGGATTGCTTTGTAGAGAAGCTAAACATGTTGTAGACCTCAACCAGATCAGAGGACTACAGACTGGGTAGTGCATATACAGATTCTCATTCATATCAACCAAAGGCAGGTAGAAGAGGTGAACAAGTTCTAGTACTCACTGCTGATAGTATGGTTGACTGGACTGTCATCAGCTAGGTGGACAAAGCCTTAAGTATACTATAATGACTGGAACTGATCT